TGGGAGAAAAATTTCTTTTTACAAAGATGTTGATGAGAGTGAGATTGAGGAAAAGATAATTCAGTTTGGCAAATGATATTAGCTTTTTAACTAATTCATTTTTTATATTATTATTTTTAAAGATATTATTTTATGGGATTTATTTATTTATCTTTTTGTTTTATTTTATAGGACTAGTGTGGTTAGAGGAGAATATGGATATGGAGTTTAATGACGATGAAATGATTTGTTGTGGTCTTTGGAGATTTTCACCATATTGGATGAAAGGATGTTCAAACAATTTAACTTTTTATTGTGGGGTTTTAGACTTTTGATATTTATCTTGTATCATGTACTATGTTTAAATCTTAGTTATTAACTTAAGTTTGTTTGATGTTTGAATTTTAGTTTACCAAGTTTTATGTGTTTTATAATTCCATCATCTATGGTGGGAATCCTAAACAAGGGTGAGCTATCTACTCTTTCATTAGTGTAAAATGATGTTGTGACAAGATGAGTGTAGAAGGTGCTCATGTATACTTTATGTTTACTTATCTTGAAAAAATGTTTATTTGAATTGATGATGTTTTGGCAATTAGTAATGACATGAGATTTTACTAAAAAAGTTTTATGCACGAAGTTGAATTTGTGATTGGTTTAGTTAAATTTATTAATACTTATAATATATTTAAACTATAAGTTGTTAAGTTTTCACGTAGTAAGTTTGAATTTGTAATAGGTTGAATATGGGTCGAGTTGGGTTAGAGTCGAGGAAACACCTTTCTTAATAGGTTGGGGTTGTGTTTTACAAATAAAACCTTTGAGTGAGGAAGGGTTGGGGATCGGGTAAGAACTCTGAAGTTTCAGGTCAAAGGTGAGGAAAGCAAAACTCTACCTCGCCTCGACTTATTGTCATATCTAATCTTAAGCTACCCTATGCTATATAAAAAATATATTTATTATCTTTTAATTTTTATTTTTATATAAGCTAAATGTTCAAATTTAGGATATAATGCTTGGATGTTTTCTTAATTAAGGATATTATTTTTATTTAGTTCAATTTAGGATTAAACATTTTCTAATTGGTTCAAAATAAGACTTTGTCATTATAGTGTGACACATGTGTATTAAACTAGAGTGAAATTTTTTTTTTCTACTATAAAGCTAAGAAAAATTTTTTTGCTTTATTTTTTACATTTATGTTTCTTTCTCTAATAGAAAAAAAGAAAGCATCTCCTTTTAAAAAGTGAACTTATTGGAAACAAAAATGCCCAAATTTTAGTCGTCACCATCGTATTGGCCACTTTTGGCCACCACTGGTCTGTTACCTTTCGACTCTAAAATTTCACCAAATACTCTTTTTGACCTCGTCTCATATTCATGCTTAGTTTTGCTTGAAATAGCTTTAAATTGCCCAGATCTGGACCTAAAGTCATGACCTAAAACTTTAAAAATGCATTTTTTTTTTCGTTGACCAAATACTTTTTCCTCTTAATGTGTTTTTCCAGTTGAGACCTTTTTTTTTCACTAAAAATCTAGACCTAAAACAATCTGAAGCATACAAAAACCAAAACTGCTTTCTCATTTCATTGTTATTGTTTTGTTTTTTTTTTATTGTTTATATTACTTTTGGCGTTACTATCCTTTTTTGGGGATGCATTTTTTGTGTTTTTTTTATAGTTTTTTTGGTTGTTAGATAAAATAAGTTTTGGTTTTTTTTTTTTTTTGGGTCTTTGTATCTTTCTTTTAAATAAGAAGAAAAATGGTACTAGTGGTTGACAAGAAGTTTAGAGTATTTTGAAAGTGTAACAAGAAAAAAAAATTGGAAGAGAAAAATATAATAAAAATAAGACCATTTTAAGTAAGGAAAGTAGGATTTTTTATGGTAGAAATGTTAGGTCTTTTTTGCAGATCTAGGAATTTTCAAGTGTTTGTTGAAAAATTCATGTAGATAACATGAATGAGAGAGCCAAGATGAATCATTTAGATGAATTTTGGGCTCATTCTGATAACAAAGATTGATGGTCGACGGTGGCTACAGTGGTGGTTGATTTAATGACAGACCATCATTAGAACCAAAAGGGGCATTGGCTTCCCCAAAAGTTTCAAAACCCCTTTAACATATATTATATATATTATATAATAATTGTTTCATATATTTTATTAAATTAAATTAGTTTTTTCATTAAAATTGATATTTGTTATATTTAATCTAACTTTATGCATTGCAATATAAGAGAAATTAGTTATATTATTATCTATCATTTATTGTACCCATAATTATTATCTCAAACCCTTAAAACTAATAAGTTTTTCATTAATATAAAATCATACTTACATATACTTGAAAAATAAATTTAATTTTCTTCTTTTCTCAAAAAGGTTTCAATCTTCAATCAAGTGCTAAAAGTGTATTTTTTAGCTCATTGTACTTATCTTTTTTTAATATTTTTATGACCATTTTTAATTGTTTTGTTTGATAAAACCTCAAATGAACTATGTTAATTGTTTTGATTTTTCTTTTTTCTAAAATACTCATGTTTGATACATATATGATAAATGTGGATATGAAAGTAAAAAAATCCAAGTATAAGAAAAATTTTGAAAAAAAAGAACATATCTGTGCTAAATAAATACTTGCATTTGACATTCATTTCAGATTTTAAATAACATAATAAATGTAAAAATATATATAATTTGAATTGATCTCTCAAAATCAAATATCATGATTCGTTACTAGGCCAGTCATTTGGGTTTATGAGGACCTATTGGTTTCATGTTTCTAGCTTTTTGGGTTTAATTTTGGGTTTAAAGTTTTTTTTTTTTTTTGGGTTTAATTATGGGTTTAAAGCATTTTAACTAATAAAAGATGAAGAAATTAATGGTATAATAGACTTAACGCTACGTGTAAATCACTATCATTAAGTAATCATGATTTGAACACATTTAGAAACATCTAGTTCTACATTGAACTAAATTAAAGTTGATAGCCTTAATTTATAAAACATTGAAATGTTAGATTCCTAATTGAGTATTTAGCATATATCTGTATTATATTAATAAAGTTATTATTTCATACTTTATTTTAAGATATCGACATTTTAAACTCAAATTTGATGATCACATGACACCTCAATGATATCTCATTTTCATTTTTATTTTTTGTTTATTTTTCCTTTTTTGTTTATTTTTTATTAATAAAATTATTATTTAATACATTCATTTAAGAGATTATAATTTCAAATTCAATTGGGATGTGCACGTAGTGCCACAAATGAGCTTATTTTTCTTTTTTTCCTTTCTATGATTTTATTTTTTTTATTTTTTTTTATGAATTTTCTTTTATTTTTTTATTTTTATACTTTTTTATTAATTTAATTTCATGAAAAAAAAATTAAGGTAAATAAAGATGTCTCCCAAGCAACTTTATTTAACTTTTTTTTTGTATTTTTAAAATTTTTTTAATTAGATAAATTTTTTAACAAATATGTTCATTGATAAAAATGTTAAACCAATTTATATACAATGGATTGTGATTAATCTCAATTTAATAAGGGTTGATTCTTTTAAATTAGGATTGAATTAGGATAGGGCAAATTTTTTTAAGGGAAATGAGAACGAGGTGGAAGCTTGTTTATGATGTTTTGTCTTAATCCATTTCAGGGTATATAAAAATATAGTTTAAATTCAATGAGATGTTTATGTGGCATTTTTTCATTCTTAAAAATTGATTGTTTATTTTTTTCTTTATTTTTAAAATTTTATCTTTTTTCACTTTTTTTTGATTTTTTATTAAGTAAATTTTGTGAGAAAATAAAAATATTTATGTGCCATCGTATTTGACTTTTTGTTAAATTTTTTTAATTAACCAAATTTTCAAAAAAAAATAAAAATAAATGAATAGGAATATAAAATAAAAAAAATTGACCCATGACAACACGCGCGTGTGCACCTAATGGTAACAATAAATACTACCATTATTATAAAATGCCAAAAATGAAAAAACAATAAATAAAATATTTAATCCAAAGGCATCATCATCCTTGATATTTCCATTGCAGCGCATCAACTTTCTAGAAATTACATTACGAGCTTCTTTTGTCTCTGAGTGGCGAACCGGTTTGGCCTTTGTACTTTGAACCGTTCCGGATGAAATAAAAGGCAGTCTTTCTAAACTCAAAAACACTGCGTTCTTTGTGCCTTTGTCAAATCTTCCTACTTCTTCAGATTGATTCGCTTATCAAAAAACTTTTTTTTTTAATGAATAAAACTTTCTAGTTTCAACAGCTACAAACGTTGTCTGGAAGCAGAGAAGGGGAAAACCTGTTCCGCTCTCTTCTATCGGTAAAATACCATTGTTTCTATTCGGGGTTTTGTTTAAAATGTTTGATTTCTTTCATTCGAAGTTTAATCTTCAAAGCCTGTCGATTATTTCTTTCTTTTTTTCTTTTTTCTTTTAACTGTCATTGTTTTCCCATTGTGCTTTTCCTCCTAGATGTGCTTTTGTTTGTTCGTAATAGGCAAAATTTCTGGCTTTATTCTGGGTAAATATGTGAGCTTTATTTGGTTTAATTGTGATTGCGAAGCAAACTTTTTTCTATTATTCTTTACTTCATTATTAATTTTAATTTTTATTGGTGGAAATCTTATAAATGGGTTGCTTTTTTTCCCCGGTAAATCTCGTAAATGTTTGGGTTCTTACTGTGTGACCTTCACATGTTTGTATGCGTGAAAAGGTAAATATGATTTAGAATCTCCCATGGAGCAAATCGGTCCTAGTTCTTCTTCAATTCCATGTCTTTGGGATGTTAATTTAATGCAATTTGTTACTTTTATAAGTAAATCTAATTAGAATTATTCATGAAAGCAGAGAAAAGAGGAAACCGAGATCCTAAGCTTATTATTTAATGGATACTGGAGGGAATTCATTACCTTCGGGAGCTGATGGAGTGAAGAGGAAGGTGTCCTATTTCTATGACCCGGAGGTAGGTAATTACTATTACGGGCAAGGTCACCCTATGAAGCCTCACAGAATTCGAATGACTCATGCCCTTCTAGCACACTATGGGCTGCTTCAGCATATGCAAGTGCACAAGCCCTTCCCTGCCAGAGATAGGGATCTTTGCCGCTTCCATGCTGATGACTATGTGAACTTTCTCCGCAGCATAACCCCTGAAACGCAGCAAGATCAGCTCAGGCAGCTCAAGCGCTTTAATGTTGGTGAAGATTGTCCTGTCTTTGACGGCCTTTACTCCTTCTGTCAAACATATGCTGGTGGCTCTGTAGGCGGTGCTGTCAAATTAAATCATGGTCTTGACATTGCCATTAATTGGGCTGGTGGCCTGCATCATGCAAAGAAGTGTGAGGCTTCAGGGTTTTGCTATGTCAATGATATTGTCCTTGCAATATTGGAACTTCTTAAGCAGCATCAGGTATGTTTTGATACCTTAAATTTCTTATTAGCTTTCTATCCGGCTTTTCTCCTCATGCTGCAAGGGCAATATCTAATTATTTTCTACCCGTATCGATCTTATCCAGTCCAATATGATATGTGATATGGCTTGTTTGCAATTTGTCTTACAATATTGTATTGAATGCAAATTTGATGTGTCTTTGACAACTGACAACCAGTGAAGATGGTTGTTATTGTGGGCATGAAATAATAAACGGTTGTTATACCAGGCATGAAATGATAAAAATAAATGTTTATATTTTTGACCTGAATGACTGGTTTTATTTTTCAATTGATACATTTCCTGTGTAAAGATTTATGCTTTTTGCACTTTATGTAGTATAGTTTGTCATTAATAATGCTTTTCCTTTATCTTTGTTGCAGCGTGTTCTATACGTTGATATTGATATCCACCATGGAGATGGTGTGGAGGAGGCATTTTATACTACTGATAGGGTCATGACTGTTTCATTTCATAAATTTGGAGATTATTTTCCGGGTACAGGGGATATACGTGATATTGGATATGCAAAGGGGAAATACTATTCCCTCAATGTTCCTTTGGATGATGGGATCGATGATGAGAGTTACCATTACTTGTTTAAGCCAATTATTGGTAAAGTTATGGAAGTTTTTAAGCCTGGTGCAGTGGTCCTTCAGTGTGGTGCTGACTCCCTATCTGGAGATAGGTTGGGATGTTTCAATCTTTCAATCAAGGGCCATGCAGAGTGTGTTAAATTTATGAGATCATTCAATGTTCCATTGTTGCTACTAGGTGGTGGTGGTTATACCATTCGGAATGTTGCTCGCTGTTGGTGCTATGAGGTATCTGACCCATTATAGTTTCAATCGATTAATATATACTGATTGGTTTTAGTGATTGGCTTGACCATTATTATCTAATGTTAATATACAGTAAAGGTGACTTTCAGAAAAACCTTTTATCTCCCCCCCTCCAAATCCCCCTTTTCCCCCTTCCCTCTTTTCTCTTTTTTGTGTTGTTTAAGTTGGAAGATGTCAAATCATAGTGCCTAATTGTTTTCGTTCATCTTTAATCCCTATAAAAAGCTCTATAGTTCTTGGATTTGAAGATGATAGAGCAAGAGCTAGTAATTTCATTGGAAGATATAAGACTTTTGTGTTAAATTAATTCAATAATGTCAATCCTTTCTGCTTCTCAAGTCATTTACACACTTCAGAATAACTTTTAGCATTTGCTGCAACTGGATGCTCTTCTTTTCTTAATTCTTTTTTGGTAATGCCTCTGTGTTGTATATTTCATGACACAACATTTAAGTTGCCCCCCCCCCCCCCCTTACTTGGACCATTTTATAGTTGTGTTATGAAACATGGAAGAACGTTGTAATTTTCTTGTGATGGACTACTTTGTTAATAACTATGTCAAATTGAGCAGACAGGAGTTGCACTTGGAATGGAGGTTGATGACAAGATGCCTCAACATGAGTATTATGAATATTTTGGTCCAGATTATACTCTTCATGTTGCCCCTAGTAACATGGAAAACAAGAACTCACGCCAGTTACTTGAAGACATACGTAATAAGCTACTTGAGAACCTCTCAAAACTTCAACATGCACCAAGTGTCCAATTTCAAGAAAGACCACCTGACACTGAGCTTCCTGAGGTGTGTGCTGCAGTTACTTTGTTTATTTGCTAAATTTATCCGAGCTTCCTTTTTGCAACTGGCATCTATCACTGGAAATTACCACATGTTCCACTCTCTTTTTTCAATCTTTTCCATAATTGAATGTGTTTTTTATGTGTCTATCATGTTTGGCATTGCATTTTACTGCTTAAAGCTTGCTTTTAAGGTTCTTTGATTGTTAAATAATAATCTAATAGGCAATTAAAATATATATTGATTTATGTTATCCATTTACATGAGAAGCTGTTTATGACTTTAGCCATTCACAGCTGCCTGCTTAAATAACTAAATTGTTTCATAAGATGGGTTATTTTGCTCATTTCTGATAAAACAATTAAAGAGAGGCAAGAAAAAACAACTATGTGCAATATTTCTTGTTGGCGCAGAAATTCTCTTTTTTGGCTGTTTATTCTATTGATAAATTTCCTACATTTTACTAGAAGTTACATATTAGCCTCATATCTACTTGCTCCTTATACTTGTTGCTTTTTGATTTATAATATTCAGGCTGATGAAGATCGGGATGATGGAGATGAGAGATGGGACCCAGATTCAGACATGGAGGTTGACGAGGAGCGGTATTTATCTTTCTTTTATTTTTTTTTAAAAAAAAACTTTATTGGTTTTATACCCCCAACTGTTTCTGATTGCATTCTATTTTCTTCTTTGCCATCCACTCATCACATTCATTCAGTAAGCCTATCCCAAGCAGGGTAAAGAGAGAATCAGTTGAACCTGAGACAAAAGATTTGGTATGCTTTATGCTATATAAGTCAGATTTTGTGATTGTGAGATTTAAGGCATTTATCTTGTGATTCTTTTTTTTTAAAGTGTATTTTGATGGAAAATTTTCATTCTGGTTTATGTTCTCCCAGGAGGCCCAAAAAGGAACTGCTGAGCAAGCCAGAGGATTTGACACTGTGACGGATGAAACTGTAAGTACAAAGGTGAAGTTTTGAAACACCAGCACACTTGCACTTGTATTATATATAGAACACAACCACGTGCAAAAAATGATATCACAGCTCAGAAAAGTTGTGTTGATGCTGGTTCATGCAGGCTGTAGATGTCAGTCCGATGCCTATTGATGAACCTACTGTGAAAGTTGAGCAAGAAACATTAAACAAAGCATCGGATCAGATGTACCCAAAGCCCTAAGCAAAATCCTCCCAATTAGATTCTGGATGTATTTTCTGCGTCTGCAATTCGTCAGACATTATAGACTCCTATGTTTATCAATCAATCTAAATTTGTACAAGTAATGAAAACCTAATACTATGATTTTGCTTTATATCGTATCAAGAGTTTAAAGTTTTAATATGTCAAACTTCAAAGTTCGAACTTGAAGGTCAAAACAGTTTTAAGATTAGTAGCAGCACATAAATATAGGCAGTGGATTTTATTAGCATTCTTATTTATAGAACAATCGTAGTGAATTGATTCATTGTTGACAATTATGGTGAGTGCTTCATCGTTTTCCTTGTTACCAATACATTGTTATCGTTTATATAGAATTTAAAATGCTTTCAAGTGATGGCATTGAGCAATTTGTGGTATTGTACTGCTATATTATTTATACTATAATCTATACTATTATGCTATACAAGAATGCAAAACAAATTTAAAACTTAAAAATAGGTCCTAAGTAATATTTAATCGGCATTCACTTTATATGCTAAAGGAAATTAGTCTTCGATCTTTGTTCTAGGACAAGATTAGATCTTTTGTTTGTTCAAACAACTGCAAACATGCACTCAAGACTTTTGTCTCAAAAAAATTGGAAAACTTTCGGATGCGAATAAACCCTAATGCATATGACAGTATACTTTCATATAAATATCATAGTTTTTAGCTTTTGATGTGTTATCACATTAACAATATTCAAATATGTATCACAAAGAATCAATATTTTCTATTTGCTAAACAATATGAATATATATGGTTAAAAAATGTAGAAGCGAAATCAGATTGAGAGATTATTCAATAAAGTCTAGTTTTGACCATAGCAAGCTCCAATTTGCTTTATTATAGTTCAAGTCAAACTAAGCTTGTTTCTCTAATAAAACAAATACTACTAAATAAATTAAACATCTTATATAAACATGAGTTACAATTACATGCCCAAATAAGAAAAAGGAATTAAGTTTGAATAAAAATTTTAGTTGAATAATTGGATACAAATTACAAGTTACAACTCCATCCATTTTTATTCTTAAAAAAAACTCCATATATTTTAAATTCTTTGCATTTGTTTTTGTATATGTAATTTTTTATGATATTTTTATGGTCTTGAATAATAATTCTATATCCAATCCAATTCCCACTATAGTTAATAGTTTGATTTGGGTTGAAATTGGATTTTATTACTCTCAAGCTGATACTACTATAAATATATATCCAATTTTCACGTCCTCCTTCACTTTCCAGTACTGTTTTTGTCACCTTTGTTAGATATTATAAGTTTCCTTACAAGTTAATTCTTATATCTCTATGGCTAGCTTTGTTTCCAATTCAACCATGAAGAAATCTCAGTCATTCAAGCTTTTGTTCCTTGTGTTTTTCCTCGCTCTTAACATCCAACAATCCCAGCAACAGCCGCCTAATCATGAGGTTGATGTTATCCCAAAGAATTATCATCAAATCAACCTCACCAATGTCACCGGACCCGAAAAGCATCGATTTTGATTGCAAAGGAGAAGGGCCATATGATGGTGTGTCTGATGGTAGAATACTCAAATGGCAAGGACCAAATCTTGGTTGGAAAGAGTTTGCCATACCTTCAGCAATGAGGTATATATAGTTAATTTCTTTAATTGTTAGTTTGTGATTTTCTTTTTTTGTGAAGTTTTATTTAAATCCGCTAAAATATTGATCAATTTCTTCATCCACAACCTTTCGATCAAATAAAGAAATTATAATAACCAAAGAGGCAAATACCTATTGATTTATTGTTGGTTTCTTTGTTGGATATTAGGAAGAGGAAACTGTGCGATGGTCAACAAATCCCAACCTTGAACCAGTGTGTGGAAGGCCATTGGGTCTGAAATTCAACAAAGCAACATGTGACCTCTACATTGCAGATGCTTACTTCGGTCTCCTATTGGTCGGACCCAACGGCGGCGTGGCTCAAACACTTGCTACTTCAGCTGAAGGAATCCCGTTTAGATTTACAAATGGTTTAGACATTGATACCAATACCGGAATTGTCTATTTTACAGATAGTGGTCTTATCTACCAAGGAAGGTGCCTCTCCTTTTCTCCCTTATTTATCAGTTTCGTCCCTTAATTTTTTTTTATAAATTATATTGATGAAAAATAAAAAAAATTCCCTTTTTTTTTGTCTTAATTGAAGCAATAGTACTCAGACTACCACTTTTATTTATTTTGAAAATTTTTTTTTATTATAGATTTGTAAATAAGATTTATGTTGATATTTTTAGATCAATTTGTTTTAATTGCATTTGCTGAGATAAATTGTTTGGACAAAAATATTGAGATTTATATAAGAGTTATTTTAAAATCGATTACAATTAATTTCAAATAATCAAAAAAGAAACTAATTATTTTTATGATTATGTAGGTATGCTGATTTCTTAATAAGATCAATCAATGATAGAAGTGAAAGATTGCTTAAATATGATTTTTCCACTAAAAAGGTGTTTGTACTACACAAAAGACTCATGTTTCCTAACGGGGTTGCTCTAAACAAAGACATTTCCTTCCTTCTACTTGCAGAATCCATTAGAAGGAGAATTTTGAAGTTCAAGGTTGATGCTGAAGCAAATACTTATGTGCCAGAAGTGTTTGCCCAACTGCTTGGAGTTCCTGATAATATAAAAAGGAATGAAAATGGGGAATTTTGGGTGGCTCTTAACACTGGAAGATTATGGAGCATTCAAAACGATGCCCCTGATCCTATTGGGATCAAATATGACCAAGAAGGAAATGTTATGAAACAATTGGACGGATACGGTGGAATAACGTTGAGTCCATTAGTGAAGTTAATGAGTTTAATGGAACGGTTAGTAAAATTAAGAAAAACAGAAATAGTAAGAAAGAAGAATATATAGTTTTGAGGCGTGAATAACACCATCTTAAAGGCAATTATGCGTATAGGATACAACAGAGTCTTAAACTCTCTAAATCAGAAGTAGTGAAATTGGTCAAGCAGAAAAATTTATTTATAATAAATGAACACTCACCAATCAAACCAATTCAAAAAGTCATGATATTTTGTATAGTTATATTTTATTATTTAAATAAACTTTATTTAAACAATCATGTTTTTCTATTTAGATATGTTTATTCATACCATCATATTTTTCACTGTTCAAACATATTTATTTAGAATCAATAATATTCTGAAATAAATAAATAATAATAATAATAATAACAACAACAACAATAATAATAATAACAATAAAAAAAGATTTAAAAAATTAAATCTATTTGTCAAACAAACCCAAGTGCCCCAGTGCCCAAGTACCCACCTTTGACTTTTAAAATTGTCTGATTCACTAGGAAAACTCCTAGTAAGCCCAAATGACTTGACTCACTCCAACACTTAGCTCAATTACTTAAATAACATAAGTGATTTCTTTTAAACCATATATAAGTGATCTTTCTACTTAATGTGGGATTCGCCACATTCTAAACTACCAATAATCCCCCACTAGTTTGGAATTTTGTGCTTAATCTTTAACCTTTCACACAAATAAATATTATGAATACAAGAAGGTATCGTTTGATTTAAACCTTCAATTAGCGTATATACCTTAGAATTCTAATAAAGTTGATGGTGTCCGTAGATTAAACCTCAACTTCTAGTGTTAAAATTGAAGATATAACACATATAATACTTATTTAATATTCTGTCAGAGGTTTATAACCGCTTTAGCACTATTATGGCCATGTGCTTATCCTTATTCATAAACATTTACAAGAAAGTTTTCAATTTTCTTGTTGAAATGGCACCATTTCTATGTTTATATAAGTGGAGTTCCTTATTTATGTCCCATTGCTATAGACATTTAATTATAAATTCCAATAAGAGTTCAATCTCATCCTCCATTTATGCAATGGCTTACACAAGTATTCTAAATATTTGGAATGGGTTGACTAGTGTTTATAGACACATAACAATAACTTCTTGTTACCTATTAAACTTTGCAATTAAAGGTTACTAATTCAAAATTAGGTTCCCATTATTGGTGTCTAAAAGGAATTTTAAACCCATTCCACTTGTGGTGCTTCTTACCAAATTTCTAAGTAGCGCCTTGGTAAGAGGATCTGTTAAGTTGTTAGTAAATTTAACATATGTGATGGTAATTACCCTATTTTTTTTGTCAATTCTCTGATATAATCATGTCTTAGACTAATATGTTTAGATTTTTCATTATAAATTTCACTATAAGCTATAGACATAGTAGCTTCATTATCACAGTACAAGAAAATGGCTGTCACTGGTTGTGGCCATAACTTTATATCCATTAATAAATTTTTTAGCCATTCAGCTTCCTTGCCTGCTGCAGCTAAAACTATGAATTCAGATTTCATAGTTAAATGTGAAATGCAAGTTTGTTTCTTAGATGCCCAACTAATTGCACCACCTCTAAGGGTAAACATCCATCCTGAAGTAGATCTATTGTCGCTTATACTAGTGATCCAACTTGCATATGAATATCCTTCCAAAATAGCTGGATCTCAAGAATAAAATAAGCCAAAATCTTTAGTTCTTTTAAGATAACCTAGAACCTTCCTATGGCTTTCTAATGACTTATACTAGGCTTACTTGTATATCTTGATAACTTGCAAATAACAAAAGCTATATCTGGCCTAGTACAATGCATAGCATACATAATACTTCCAATAGCACTAGCATATTCAAGTTGTGCAATTATATAACCTTGATTTTTTGTTAATTTTATACTTGTATCATATGGAGTATTGGCTTCTTTTATATTGAGATACCAAAACTTATTAAGCAGTTTCTCAATATAATGACTTTGATTAAATACGAAACCCTTATTATATCTTTTAACTTTAATTCTCAAAATGGTATCAACTTCATTTAAATCTTTCATTTTAAAATTAAAAATTAGATACCTTTTGGTTTCATTTATGCCAATCGTATTAGTACTAAAAATTAGCATATCATCCACATAGAGACATATTATAATTCCATATTCTTTAGTAAATTTTAAGTAAATGCACTTATCTGCTCCATTATGTTTAAAACCATTGGCTACAATGATTGAATCAAACTTTTCATGCCATTGTTTAGGAGCTTGCTTTAGCTCATAAAAGTGACTTAATTAGTTTACAAACTTTATTCTGATTACTTGAAAGAATAAAACCTTCTAGTTGTTCCATGTATACTTCTTCCTTTAAGTCACTATTTAAAAAGGTTTTCTTAAGATCCATTTGATGCACATGTAATTTATAAATGGAAGCCAAAGCTATAAGAATTCTAATGGATGCTATTCTAGCTACTGGAGCATATGTATCAAAAT